CCCCCCCCCCCCCCCCCCCCCAAAAAAACCCCCCCCCCCACAAACATATACACACATATACAAACCCTTCTTGTTTGGGGAGTTTACTATAATCTGACTATTACAACATTTTTATCACTTCTTAAGTTACGCTGCGATGGTTCATTTTAACCTTTTGATACAGTCCCAATTCTTCTATTACTCCGTTTTCCTTAAATGCATTGTCACTTGTTTCGTTTGAGGCAATTCTAGAGGGTTATTTTTTTAAAATAAAGTAAAAAAAAAACCCCTACTTATAATTATTTCTGGATATGCCCTAAAAGCTTGCAGATGTTTTCCCAATCTGCCTGTAATATTTATAGTTGATCCCATTGCTCAGTAAATAGCCAACAATATGGGGTACATTAAGTTGAACAAATGCCTTAATCGTTGAAATCTTGGGTCCTTTATGGTTGGCTGAGATGAAGTGTGAAACTGAGTGAGGCCATTGCTAGGCAGTTTGCCTGCTCAGCTCTCTGCTTGAAACTCTGCATTCTTAATAAATAAGTTTGTGCATCCCATTTTCAATGAACAACTTTTAAAAAATGATTATTAATTATTTTCCTGAACTGCGGTTGCCTTCAGAAGAAGTCAAGCCTTCAAGCTTATCTGTACTCAATTAAGGCTTGAAGCGGGGTGGGGTGGGGGGTATCTTTTACCTCTTATTTTTTGACACAACAACCCTGTAAGGTAGGTTGGGCTGAAATAAACTGGCCCCAAGTTGATCTTCTAGGGCTGAGAGCAAACTTGAACTCCGCTCTCTCTGGTGTCAGGGATACCTTCACCACTGTATTACCCTGGCTCTCATAAATGAAGGTCCTTTAATGAAATTTGCATCAAGCACATTTTTCAGAGCCTAATGCATATCTCTACCCCGTTGCCAGCCCTTTGAGGTAGGCCAGGACAAGAAATAGACACTGCAGGATTTCGGGAATATCGTTGTACAGTATAATAACAGAATCTTGAAAGCCTGTCCAACTTTTCTCCCTGTCCCATTTTAAACTAAACAGAATCAAGGCAGGGTTATTTTGAGTTAGTTTCTCATGCTTTCTTCAGTATAATCGCTTTTCCATGTCCCTCCTAAATACCTCCTCCAAGGTCATCTCTAAATTCCTTTACACGCAGACACCACGAAGCAGAGCACCTCTAATTGTGGAAAAAGTTATCTTCCACTAGTATTTATAAAACAAAAATAACTAAATAACCTAAGGCAGGGGTAAAACGTAAGGAAAAGGTTTGTGGGTATACACGCACACACATGCTGGCAATTAACTGGTAGGCTACCAGTTATATCCTCTGTTCTCTTTCTTTACGGGAGAAAAGTGCTTGGTTTACATTTTAATGTGACTACTAAAATTCACACAGGTTATGCTGCAGTTTGTTTCCAAATGTGATGTAGTTCATCTATTCAAAATACAGTACAAATGCTTAGATATTAGAGGAAAAGTTTGTGAAATATAGAGTCCTTGGGGTTCTCTGAGCTCGGTGGTTTTCTTGCAAATTTTGTTACTCGGCTAGGTAACATCTTCAGTGCTAGGATAATATCTAAATAAAACAATATCTAAGTAAATGCTTATCCTGCTTAAAAAATGTTTACATTGAAAAAAACTTTTTATTAAAAATATGCACTATTTTTTTAAAAGTTGCAGATTGACAAGCTGATACAGAAGTAGGATGAAATTATTTTAAGGTTAAGGGTCCTTCTCCCTCAAACAACATTTTCCTTCTAATTTAATTTTCTCTGTGTTGTGGGTAAGAAGAAAGGAACAAGGGCTACATGAATAAAGGACTCATTGAATAAAACCATTGGGTTGGATTAAGGTAGAATCAGATTACAGAATGGTAGATACACCGAATCAATGGGAGAGGACTTGAATCGTGACTTAAATCACTGACTTGATCTCAGTGGGCTTATTTTAAGTATTACTTTTTCTCAAGGCAGCTCATGTTTTTTAACTGAGATAGACTTAGAAATGTGAAGTAGGGGAATAGGCTGAGAAGTTGAGTATGAAATGAAATGTTACAATAGCTTCAATGTACTTTTATTAGTTGGGAATTGCACATAGATAGTCATTAAACGGACTACAAGGCACCCCAAATCTGGCAATATTGCCATTGAGAGTGTTATTGATGTCACTGGCACGATCCAGTATCCTGGGCCTCACTGATGGGAAGTCTAGAAATGGATAATTCCAGAAAGCTTAGGTTGTCTTGCCTTGGAAGTGATGAAAAGTAACTTCTTAACCACACAATTACTGATATTAGTGATAGGGGAGAGAATAGTGTTTCTTTGACCTGACACAGACTTCTTAACATTTATTAGGTGGGGACATCAGAAGAGTTTAATTGGTATGGCCTAAAACTTAACTTCATTAAGGAATAATTACTTTCAAGCCCTTTTCCTGCTGAAATGTTAAGACGCCAAATTATGCTTTTGAGGGATTGAGGGCAATTTAGAAAGAGAGAATGTGATAATTTTGTTCTAAAAAACCAAGTGGCCTACGGCAGCTTTGCCCTTCTGATTCCAGTGTTGATATTGGCAGGCCGTAGGCTGTGATCGGCAGCTTGGGAGTCACGCCAAAGAAGACAACTGTGGGGTCTGTTCAGGAGATGGTGCCACATGCAGACTGGTGAGAGGGCAAGCTAAGACGCACGTTTCCTCGGAAAAAAGTAAGTCTCTAGCAACTCAAATATGTGTTATTTATCCTCAGTATTTTCCTATGCTATTATCAACAGGGCTGTACTGTGGATTGCGCCAATTTAACTGAACTTAGAATTATTTGGAATTTGTTTTTGGGAAAGTTTGTGCCAAGTTGTTCTATTATGCAATATTGACCCTTGGGAAAGTTATGCAAGAATTTGAAAGATGAGCTTTGAGAGAGAAATCCAACTGAGTAAACATGATTTTTATTTTTTATTTTTTGGTGCCTTTGAGTCAGTGTTGACTCCTGGTGACTGCCTGGACAAGTCCTTGCAGTTTTCGTGGCAAGATTTCAGAAGTGGTTTGCCATTGCCTCCTTCCTAGGGCTGAGAGAGAGTGACTGGCCCAAGGTCACTCGGCTGGTTTTGTGTCTAAAGAGGGACTAGAACTCAGGGTCTTCTGGTTTCTAGCTTGATGCCTTAACCACTACACCAGACTGGCTCTAACTACTCTTAACCACTATGCAAAATGAGAGCCAGTTTGGTGTGGTGGTTACATCAGGCTAGAAACTGGGAGACTGTGAGTTTTAGTCCTGCCTTAGGCACGAAGCCAGCTGGGTGACCTTGGGCCAGTCACACAGTCTCAGTCCTAGGAAGCAGGCAATGGCAAACCACCTCCGAAAAACCTGGCCAAGAAAACTACAGGGACTAGTCCAGGCAGTGGCCAGGAGTCAAGACTGACTTGAAGGCACCAAAAAAATAAAACACGAAATACCTGTTGTGATTCTCTCTCTCTCTCTCTCTCACTCACTCTCACTCTGTGACAAAGGAGTTGGCTGGATTCCAGAACAATGACTCCTCCTCCGACTTCTCCTCTGCTGGAATAAGTGATCTTTTGATTCTGTCCAATATACCACAAAGCCAAAAAAGTATCCAAAAGAGAGACTTTATACACACACACACACACACACCACACACACACACACAAAGTCTCTCTTTTGGATAATTTTGTTGGCTTTGTGGTATATTGGACAGAATCAAAAGGTCACTTATTCCTGCAGAAGAAGAAGAAGAAGAGGAGGAGGAGGAGGAGGAGTCATTGTTCTGGAATCCAGCCAACTCCTTTGTCCTAAGGATTTGTATACCTAGCAAGAATAGTTGTGTTTCCCCAAAATCAAGTAATCAGGAAGGAGCAAGTGGCACTTGAAATAAAATGTTCCAGTGTAGCGTTTTCCCATTCAATATTCCAGTTATTCCATCTCCATCCCCAGTACACTTTTCTGTTTTTCCCCCCCAGAATTCAGTTAGTACACTATGTCTACTGTTCATTACCAGTTTTTTTTTCTCTTTAAAGGATATTTCTTGTTTGAATTTGCTTGAAAACCTTTTCTTAACTCTTGAATTCATAAGTTAGATGTATTCGCCCTTGCACCACCACCATCATTCAAATGTTTAATTGGAGGATATTTTAAAAAAAGAATGCTGGCACTTTTTACAAATATACGAAACAATGAAAGATAACTTGGTGATGATGATCTGTAGCTAAAAAGAAATACAGGTCATCCTTGCTTAACGACCATTCATTTAATGATGGTTCAAAGTTATGACAGCCTCAGAAAAAGTGCTTTACAACCTGTACTCACAACCGTTGCAAGCTGTCACACCACCCCTGCAGTCACGTGATTGCAATTCGGGCATTTGGCAATTGGCTCACAGTTACGATTGGTTGCAGCATCCAACAGTCACATGATTGTGATTTGTGACCTTTTCTGCCGGTTTCTGGCAAAAAACATCCATTGGGGAAGCTGGATTTGCTTAATGACCATGTGATTTGCTTAATGATGTGGTGATTTGCTTGATGATGTGATTCACTTTACAACTGCTATAAAAATGGTCATACAATTGAGTCCAGTCACATGGTGACTCACTTAATGACCACCCTGCTTAACAACCAATTTTCCAGTCCCTATTGTGGTCATTAAGAGAGGACTACCTGTATTTGTTTTTCATTCTTACTTACATTGGGCAAATGCTGAACTGATCACTTTCAGAAAATAGTATTCAGTTGTAATCTATTTCCATTCTGATATGTCTGTTTTCCTATTCCTTGTGAAAGAAAGATAAAACTCATAGAAAACTGGGGCCTTTGAAGGAGAGTTAAATACCAAAATAGATTCATCTGCTGAATCTGGATATTTTTCCTGGCTGAATGTCTGTGGTTCAGCAGTTGGATTGTTTGGAGGACAAAAAGTATCTCCAGCTCTACAATGTGGGGAAGATCAGAAAGTGGGCTGCTACCTTCTGAAATAAAGTTGCAGAAAATTGGGATCCTGCCTGTAATATGAAAGCATTAGGAGTCTGGCTTGAGAGAGAACTTACCAAGAAGATAGGGTTCAAATTTTTGTTTCTATCCAAGAGAGCGGTGGTGTTCGTAAGATGTTGAATCATTGCCACTAATGGCGGCTTCAAACTGAGTTTTGAGAAATACTTGGCTTTATTGTGGGCCTGATCCCCCCAGAATCTCTGGACAAAGAGTGCCTTGCAGATTCCCCCTGGGCTTGATGTTCTTTGGATCAAAGTCACAGTTGCATGTTTTTCTCATCATTCCACTGCTGTGTGGTTTTGAAGATCTTGCCTAAATCATGTTTATTCTTTGGGTGTAAATATGTGATTCTGTAATTATCATATATTAGTGTGCCTAAGATAATATTTTAAATTCCCTTTTTTGTCACCGACTTGTTGCAGTGTGTAACTTTAAAACAAAACATTCTGTTAAAAAAGACAGTTTTTGTATCATGTAGAAGTTCTTTAAGCCAGTGGGCACTGGGGAGAAAGGAGTCAGGGAAACAGCTTCTCAGCAATAACCCATCAGTTGAGGAGAGAACATCTACTCAAGAACATCAAGTTAAAGAGGCCGGAAGCATGGCTACATGCAGTGTCCAAATCAGAATAGAATATACTTAGGAACATGAAGCTGTATGTGCTTTGAACATACTGACATCTTCTGGGTCAGACTTTGCACTTGTGTAGAAGAAAACCAGTATTGCAGATCAGTAGAAACCTGATCCATGTCTGTGCTTTATGTCCTGACTTATATGTTACAACATTCAATCTAATTTCTTTGCATGTCAAGCTTTCAGAAACTCCCCTAAAGCCCCATAGTTGCCATCCTATGGACTTGTAGATATGTTTTCTGCAATTTATATTTTTCTTTACAGTTTATCAAGTACTGAAATATACATTTTTAATGCAACCACCCATATGCTTTTTTTTAATGCATCATCTCTAAAGTATGCTTAATTTTAATGTGACTTAGCTCTTGCACGAATATTTTTCTTTCCTTTTTTCTTTATCATATTTTATACCGCTGGACTCAAAAGTGACTCCCAGCAGTTTACATCATAGAATACATAAAAACATGATGATAACAACAACAACACTAAAATGAGGATAAAACACAAACTGCAATCATACAATAAGTGCAATGGTGACCATCCACTCACCAAAAGCCCTCCAGAACAGCTTTGTCTTTAATGACATCCAGAAAGCTGATAGTGAAGATGCTAGTCTAATTTCTAGAGGGGCAATTCCATAATGGGGAGTTGTCAGCCCTTCAAGGTAGATCAGACTAGGGAACCAATGCCATGTAGGTCAATACTACTTTTATTATAAAGCTATGGTAATAGAATCTTGCAAGTCTGAATGTGCTCCCCCCTCCCTTTATCTTTGTGTGAATTAGGGAGGGTCTTATCTGTGACATTTACTCACATTACTTTCTTGGCTCGGACTCAGGCACCTTTTATCTCAGCATTATCTTGGTAGCAACTGTTCCTCCTGTCCCTCAAAGCCATTCCCTCTGTCCTCTGTAGCTGGAAAAGATTGCCTGTAAGCCTTCACCCCTTCACCTCACATTCTTGGAGACTCTTAAAAGATTTTGACAGCAAGTACACAGAGGGCAAATCCGGCGGGCCCTTCTGTGTGGAGAAAGCAATCGCATAAGTACTTCATTGTCAAATCACATTTTCATGCTGATCTTAATGTGGATTATACAAATTATTATAGCTGAGAACAAGAAATGACAATGGCCATGGACTTTGTTATCATGGTTAATGTAATTTAGAGTCAATCTTCAGTTTTCTTTCATGCCAAAGCTTCTTGTACTGCCCCTCAGAAGAAATAGAATTTATAAAAGTAGAATAAAAATGCACATTATTCGTCACATCAGGTGTTACCTTTTTCTAAACTCACTGTGTTAAGAAAGGAAGAGAGTTAAGCAACTATCACTCTATAAGCTTTGAATCATAGTTATGATTCTCAATCTTCTGTTGAAAATTAATCCTTTTAGTTGATCAATTATGGGAAAGGAAAAACTCTTAACTCATGGGACTTCAAGTGAAAAGCATTTATGGATAGGTTGCATCTTTGGCTTCTAGCAGTGGACTGTAATGTCGATTTTTGCTGAACTGCAGATAATTAGATTCAAATTTAACTGCCTAGCCACATTTAATTTAAATTTAATCAAATTTAATTGATTAGGTGGGTACAGTATTGAGTGCTTTCATTCAAGGCTTCATACAGCTAAGCTATCATTTGTTTTCCAGCGGAACTCTTTTCAATCTCACACCTCCAATTTTTTTCTCTGAAAACTAGTCAGAATTCTGGCTTTACTCAGCACCCTCAATCTTCACTGGCTCCTGTTGTTCTTGAGGTTTAATGTGTATGTGTGTGTGTGTGTGTTTTAAAGCTTCATAAGTCTTCCCCTTTTCCTGTTTCTACCAGCCTTGTGGTTTCCTGGTATGTTGAGATCTTTTTTCGTTTCTCGGTAATCCTAATTGATTACATAACTGACATAATTCATGCATCTACTATTTTGTACACAAGGAAGCACACACACGCAGCAATATACAAATGGGAAACAGAAGAGACAGACCTATCGGTAGTGAATTAAGTAGTAAATGTTTTGTTGAACTTGTGCAGTTAAAAAGAATAAATGCAGATGTTTTGATCATAGGAAGCAGAGTCTCAGCCTA